CCTTTCCTTTCCTTTCCTTTCCTTTCCTTTCCTTTCCTTTCTTTTTATTCCCTTCGGTAAAAGGTGTAAGGAATTTGTAATGCGTTTAACGCAAACACTTCGATTTGCTTCTGACATAGTTACCCTAGACACTCTACTGGATGCAAACGATTTTCTCTTAGAAAATAACGAAGCAATCCTAAAACGTATTAGCGTGAAACAATGTGGAAGACGGTAGTGCAACTCATAGTAAATATGTAACTTTAATAATTCAACATTTAAAGTTTTTACAATGTAATGCAAATATATAATTTAATACGACTATTTGATGAAAGTATCTAGATCAGAGTAGGTTAGCGCTATATTTCTCATTGACGATAGACAAAAACGATATTTTTTTTGTTTTCAACAGAAAACATCGGTTGCTATTCCGAGTCAGAGGAGTCACGAGTATTCCAGTCAAGTGCAGGAGACTACGATCCATCCGATATTAGTCCTGTTCGATGTGTTATTCAATGTGGGATCAAGTACAAGTACGCTGCCTTACAAAACGGAAAGCTCTGCTTGTGTGCAAACTCTCTCCCAAAATCCCCGAAACTAAGCGACACCGAATGTAATATCCCGTGCACAGGCTCTAGCGGTTGGCCTGAATCAGCAAAGTCTTTTCGCTGCGGGGGTCCGATGAAAAATAGCATCTACACAGCAAGAGAAAGAATCCTTGGGTTCTCTCTACATCATGTGAAAACTCTCCCTATATTAGAACCTGTTACTATTTATGGAAATCTCACTAACGGTCGCGATGTATCGTACTTGTATGATCTGGGTGATGGGACGCTCATATCAAAATCCTCCAATCAGCCTCACGTACGCCATATCTATGAACTACCAGGCTCCTATGTTGTTACGTTCACCGCGTCTAATGCGATATCGGGATCACTATCCACCTCGTCTGTCTACAACGTTGACGATCCGTCATTTGCTGTGAAGTTATCGTGTCCAAGATCGGCTGAGGTTGGGCAGGTGGTGGAGTGTAACGGGACGCTGTCCCGCGGGTCACGGGTCAATACTACGTTTGTGTTTTCTAATGTTTTTTCTGAGAAGCTCTCGATCAGTGAGTATTCTGTGTGTGAGATTTTGTCCTTTCCTTTTTTCCTTCTGAATTTGCTTTCTTTAGCCAATCAGAATTGATACGCTGAATGTTGTTCGCAGCATTGATACCTTCAATATTGCGCACAGCAACGATACCTTGATTATTGCATACAGCACTGATACATTCAATATTGCGAAGAAGTTTCTTTTGTATTTCGAGTGATTCAAATCTTTTTTTTCTAATGTTGGTTTCCTTAATCTGTCATAAATAAAAGGTGCTCAGTATTACAGTACTGGAGCTGTGGTACCCCAAACAAACGACACGCTTCCATCGACACCCTTAAGTATTACTGGCAGCCTAGTGATCCCTGCTCATGAATTCCACCACAGTGGTCGTGTAACACACTGGGACTTTGAGGCGATCAAAGTTGGATTTATTAATCTTCAGGTAGGCGCAGCCATCAATAGCTTCGTCTGTGGCATACGCAAGGCTAAGGCTACTGGGAACTTGCTCGGGAGAACCTAAATAGCTGCATATTTACTTCCTTTTTTTTTCCTTTCTCAAGATATACCGGCCGATCTGTACTTCTGGACAGGTGTACTGTGCTTCAAGCAAGTCTTGTATGTCCTCCTCCTCATCCTGTATCTCCCTACACCAGCGTCGATGCGCAGATAACGAAATCTTTTGCATCTTCCGCAAGAGGTGTCTACCCAACTCGCAAGACAGCATGAGAAGCTGCGCCTCAAATTCACCTTACAATTTTAACACACCACCGGTCGACTACAAGCTTATTTTCCAGCATCGAACAGAGATCAAGGAGCTTGGCCATCATATCGTTGCATTACTTCCTCCTGATCAGCCACAGGTCCAAGAAGGAGATGTGATTGGTTGGGGATCAGATTCGGGACAGCTTGCCTACAAAAATGTTCCTGCCGAAGAAGGTAGCGCGTTTCAGTACTCCACATCGGCACTTTCAGTGGGTGACAATCTCCTACGATCTACCTCCCCCACCGTTCTTCAGAAGCACTTTATCGTTGCTGCGCACATTGCGCACGCAGCGCGCTTTGTTATAAGTGATAAGTTTCACACGACAGGCATTAAGAGTGTATCGTCGAACATCACCGAGGTTACACACATCACTATAGACTATCCAATAGGAAATGTGTCTTTCTCTTACCGCGATATCGTCAATACCAACGATACGATCACATTTAGCGTGCCCCACCATCAAGGCTCAAATTCAACCTACAAGTGGGACTTTGGAAACGGAGCTAAGCTACAGACCCAGACACGCGACATCAACTACGCGTTCCCTTCTGCAGGAGTATTCTTGGTCAGACTGACTGCTGAGAATTCCGTGGGAAGTGTTACTGTATCTAGGATAATATATGTCTATGATCCTATTACAGCCTTGAAGTTTTCTAAGTGTCCGATTCAGGCAAAAGCAATTGGACAACCAACTGTGATCGAGTGGGAGGCCTCTAGAAGCACCAATATCACCTACATCGTAGACTTTGGCGATGCGACAAGTCGATACGAAGTCGTAACAACAGGTATTGATAGTCGTAGAGTGCAAACGGCTCACCAGTACGCTTCTATAGGGAATTACACGGTCACCGTCTATGCGTACAATCGTGTTGGTCCTAATGTATCGATTACCTGTTACGCCRTGGTTGAGATTCCTCTTGTCGGACTTGAATTCAGCATTCCTGTGGAGCACGTCACTTCCAATATCTATTTGTCTGTGGGAGATCATATGGTCGTTACTCGCTACCTTAAGGAAGGGACACACTTTAAGTGTTCGTTTGACTTCCAGGACGGGACACCTGCTTTGGTGACAGATCAAGCCAATGCGACGCACAAGTACACCAGCCCGGGGAAATACCAGGTCAAAATAAAATGCTACAATGACATTAGCTCGATCAGTAAATCACTAAATGCTTCAGTTATCGTAGAGGAGCTGAAAGCCTTGAGGGGATTGACAGTGGCAGGTGCTGCAACCAAGCTCGGTAGTGTATCTTCAATGACAATACAAATGAACGAGGGAACAACATACTTTTGTACGTGGGACTTTGGAGATGGTTCGGTGACTAGAACGGATGCATCCCACACGGGACAACCAGTGACGCACACCTATAATGCTATAAACACCTACAAAGTCACAGTTTCTTGCACTAATCGTCTTGGAACAATCCGCACATCAACTGATATATCAGTAGATACGACAGTAGACACCGTTAGCATCACGAGCAGTAAACGGTACATTCGCGTTTATGAAGAAATTCCTTTCAATGTCAAAGTACTCAAAGGTTCCCGCTTACATTACAAGGTTGATTATGGCGATGGTAAGAACAGCTCTCTGCAGCGGAATGGTCAAGGACAAGGTTTGGCAGGGGAGGAGACTTTTACGCACGCTTATACAACGGACGATAGTTTTACCGTCATCGTTACAGTCTCAAACGCCCTCGGCTCTGTCGTGCAAACTTTAAACTACTCCATCGTCGTTGAATATCCAGTCCAAGACATGATCCTTCAATCGAATTCCCCAGTGAGTCTTGACCCTGGGATGGCTATGTTCTACCTTAGTGTTTTACAAAACGTAACTGCGCCTACTAGTGGGCAGTGTGTTTGGATGTTTAACGACGGCAGTCCTGTGTCTTCGCCTGAACCTCTTAAACTCAAACCTCTAAGTCGTAATCACAAATTCACCAAGGAAGGCTCTTACGTCATAAGGGTGAACATCAGCAACCATGTCAGTAGTGTCGTCATGGAAACGATTCTACGCGTTCAAAAAATAAAGGCAGTTACAATTTTGTCCCAGCGTCTAGTCAATGGAGTCTTAAAACAAGGTCTTGGGCCGCAGAATGTATACTTTCCCGTCAATGAAACTGTTGTCTTCAGAGTGTTGTCACAAGAAGGAGACATAAGCTACAGCTGGAAGTTTGGCGATGGGAGCTCATTAAACGAGTCAACCGTCCCCACGACAAACCATACATTCACAAATCCCTCGCGTTACAGCGTCAAAGTAGTAGTACACAACGTGCTGGAGGTACTGACATCAAGCATAGACATTTTTATCCAACAACCCGTTGGTAATGTTTTAGTCAAGTCGACTTTCCCAGCGTTTTACACCGACCCGACGCATTTTTATGTCAGTGTAGCTTCTCGTGGCTCAGATTCCTGTCTCCTGCTAGCACTAGGTGATAACCAAGGTGTACGCCTCGGTGGCGAGTCATGCAGACCTCAGGTAATAATGATAATAATAATCATCATCATCATTATCATCATCATCATTACCTTTACCACCACCACCACCACCAACCTCATTACCATCATCACCATTATCATCATCATCGTCATAATCATCATCATCATCATTATCCAATCATAATCACAATCAACATTATCATCAACATCTTTATCCATCATCATCAACATTATCAATATCATCATCATCTTCTTCTTCTTAATAAACTTTATTTCAAGAGGGAACATTTAACAGTTTACAATAAAGAACTTATGGCCCTCAAATGAACTTATCAAATTCCCTATTCTTAAATGCCAGGTATTCCTTCCAAATGAGACATTCATCAAGATCCCTGAAGACCAACACAGCTACAATTATACACATACTTACGCCCAGAGGGGGAATTACACAGTGGTTTTTTCTGCTTGGAACCACGTCTCCATGTCAAAGTCTACCACTTCAGTCAGTATCCAAGACTTCCCTTGCCTGCAGCCTGAGGTCAAGATCGATAGCTCTGGAACTAGAAGCAACCCCAGAAAAATCAAGAAGTCTGAAGCGTTAGTTCTTGGTGTTGATCTCAAGTACAGATGTCCTGTTGCACGCAGTATTGTTTTCATATGGAAGGCCTACGAGGTAGGAGATAATGAAAATCTATTCCAAGAGTTACTCGGCTTCGTTTAGGAATAGACCATAGATAATTGATGGGGGGGGGGGGGGGGGGGGGGGGGGGGGGGAGGTTGGGGATTGTAGGAATTTATGTTGCACAACATTCATCTTTTTGTAGCAACCCCTGAACGTATTGTTTTCTGTTTGGTCGATATTTCTTTCTTTTTAAAGGATTGGCTGCACGATATTTTTTCAAGGATGAAGTGCTTGCTCGAAATTGTTTTATTAATGATAACATCATACTCTTGAAGTTGTTTAAATCCTTAGCGTTTAGTTTACATTATTGTTTAGATCAATATACGTGTGCGACTTCAATTTGGACAATGTTTTTCAAGTCAAACGTACAGCATTCCCATTTATGATATCTCTTTACTGGCAGCGATTAAGAAGATGCGTTGATTACAACTCACGCAAAGAGTCGTTTTCCTTAAATATTCAAGTTAGAGCTGTTGGTATTTAAGAATAGTGTTTGAATCCTTGTGTGAAGATGATGGTCATGTTGTTATGACTGAACGACCGTTTCTCAACACAGGTAACTTTGGCTAACCCTGATGACACAAGCAAGCCAATAAAGCTCCCTTCGGAACAAGTCAAGATGTTTGATCTTCCTGCTAAAGTGAACCTTTTAGACGCCGGAGCCATGAAGATCAGAGAGAGGTTCTTCCCATTCATGACTCTGAAATTTTCCCTCAAGGTCAGCTTCATAGGACGGGATCGAGACATCTCTCACATGTCTAGTTCGCACAGCGTCTGGATTAATATAGAACGCTCTGAGCTTACAGTCGTTATCAAAGGTTTGTGTTGTTTTTTTTATATAAGAAAGAATTCAATTCCCACAAGCAAAGGGTATACCTCGCATGATTCTCTTTGTAATCTCAATTGTACTTTCGTATCTTTTTACTTGACACCCAGGTGGACAGCGTCGGTCTGTAGGTTACGAACTGGACATGGTCCTCGATGGCAGCGAATCTAAAGACCCAGACAACCCGTCCAACAAAACTGGCATCACGTACTCTTGGTCTTGTCGCAAGAAGGATGAGGAGTTCCCATCTGAATTTGACCCTCCGAACCCGACAGGGGGATGCTGGGGCAATGGTGTCTATACTATCAATAGTACAGAGAACAAAGTTCAAGTATACACAGGCCACTTCCTTCAAAATGCCATCTATATTTTTAAACTGATTTGTACCAAGGATGGCAGGTCGGCTTCGTTTGAGCAGTCCGTCACGATCTTACCAGGACAACCACCTACAATGAGTTTAAGGTATAGTGAGAATAGGCCATTTTTCTCTCATATTTTGCGCTTGCGATTTTAATATTGAGGCGCAACATTAGAAATAGAAGAGCAGATAACTCGCAAAAAAAAAAAAAAAAAAAAATGATACCAACTGATTGTAATTGCTCTCAATGGGACGATGTAGCCAAGGGGGATACCGGATCTTTCTTGGTGTTGCAACCTTTATTGTATTATTTAGCTCCAAATTCGTTATCTTTGGCTATTGTTTTATTGTCTTTATGCCTCAGGTGCCTTGCAACACCAAGAAAGAGTCTGACTACCTTAATCGCGTAGCTTTGTAAACGTTGCTATTATCAGCATTTACAATCTAAGGTCATATTGTTTTTAGGTGCAATTTCAACTGCCTGAAAAAGATGAATCCTCTGGAGCGCTTGGTACTCGAAACACTATGCGTCGACTGCAAACCAACCGACCAACTAGGATACGAGTGGTCGCTGTTCCGTCTCGACCTGGGCAAAGACAAAACCAAAATGGAGTCGTGGGTCAAACAAACTAATTGGGCCGCAAGCACCACGACGGGGACAGACAAGGGAAACCTTGTTATCAAACCTCAGGTTTTAACACCAGGGAGAGAGTATTTCCTGAGGTTGAACGCGTGGAAGCCGGGTGGCTACCCGGGTGGGTTCGTGGAGTACCAGTTTACAGTTAACGTAGGTCCAACTGGAGGAACGTGTGTTGTGAATCCCTTGGAAGGGTTCGCCTTGGAGACAGACTTCAAGGTTCAGTGTGACAACTGGGACGATACGGATACGCCTTTACAGTATATGATAGGTAGGTGCGTGGATCGTTCATATCCATAATCCATGTAGCTTGAACAATAGAGACAGACTTCAAGGTTCAGTGTGACAACTGTGAGATATGGATACGCCTTTACAATATATGATAGGTAGTTGTATGGATCGCTCATATTGTGTAATCCTCCTAGCGTTAACATTATAGCTGAATGGAAGAGAGGTAGTGGTAATGGTAGGAAGTCAAGTTCCCATTTTTCGTGTTTTAACATACCCCTTGCAGTACGTTGGAGACATCAATAGGTTTCCAATTCTCAGGA